TAAAATTACAAGTGGAGAGAAGTAAAGCTGAAAATTTTCAGCATTAAATAAGTGCTTTGGTTAAATTCAGATTCAGATTTTCCAATCCATTCCCATGTGTCCTTTAACACTTGAATGCCAACGCACAAATGCACCTCCCTACCAAGACAGAGGTAGTTGATTGAAATGATTGCTCTTAGGGAGTCTGGACAAACACTTTACCTATTATATTATTGATTCCCAAGATAAAACATGCAAACACTTGTTGTGAAGAGGCTACCATGAGCTTTTGCCAATCCAATAAGCTGGACTGGCCTCTCTGCTTCTAAAGTTAATCATTTTCTAGACTGAAGTATGTGAAAGGATTCAGTGCTGAAAATATCCCTTAGATCTTCTTGGTGCACCCAAAATATTGCCAGACATTTGACATAAGGCCCTGTTTACTAAAAGCTCTTCTGCTAGAACCAATAAATGATTAACAAGGAACTTCTCGAGTCACTTTCCAGATGTTGTTTGCTGAGACATCCTTGTACTACAATGACAAATGGGGCAGAATTAAATGAATGGCAAGGGACTTGACGATAACATAGCACCACACACTTGGCAGGATTCTGCCATTCAGCAGAATGCCCCCAAGGCAAAATAATCTGGGCAACCACCACAGCACAAAGGTTAAACATACATTTATTTATGCATGCGGCAGCGCTGCCCCAGCTGGTGCTCATTAGGTTTCAAGAGCAAAACACCCATTTTTGGAAACAGGCAGTAATAACAACAAATGCTTAATTACGCTGCGAAAAGGTAGCAGTTTGCTCATTATTATGCTATCTAATATCCCTTATGCTTCATTGCTTTTTTTTTTTTTAATTGGCTAATGAATTTTGCAACACTTGCCAAATCACATCTATATAAGCTACGGTATATTAGGCTCTTAATGAAAAATCAGAATCATTTTGGGGAACTGCAGGTTTGAATGAAAACACTGCTCATCAGGTAAGGAGCAACATGTTATTTATCTCTCCATCCAAAAGCTTTCGATGGCGGTCCACATTTCTACCAGTTTATGATCCTCAGATCTATGAGGTTCTCTTGTGCTATTTCCACTGAAATGAATGGAAATTCTCCTGGAACAGAGTTCAGTGAATCAATCTATGTCTAGCCCATTTTGTTTTCTTATGGGTCCATTGACAAGTCTGTTCTACTCCAGTTTCTGCATTAATCTGCATTTAAAAAAAGAAGAAGTTTGAATAAATTTGGATTTAAAAGCATATTTTTAAACTGTTTCCTCCCAATATACTCATTTCTAACTATATTCTTTCAATATATGCATTTATAACTGCATTTTCTCTCAGATGTGCATTTTAAAACTCACATTGATCCATTTTGAAATGAAAATAGCATCATAATATTTGGGAAATGTGAAAGTCATTGCTGAACTTAGTTTGTATCGCAATTTGTTAATATCAAATTCTTCAGTTATTCTACCTACCATCTGTCTGGTGCTGAAGCTGAACAGAAAGTAATATTCCTCATTTGTACCAAGACAAAATGAATTTTTCTAATAGTTACACTTGCAGTTCCAGTCTCATAAAGAACAAAGGCAAACGTTAATTGGTTGACAAAGTCTTGTATATTGTGTTCTGATTTCTCTTTTAATGCTCATATGACCTTTCTCACAATTGTTTCTTTGATGGGCATATATAGAATCCAAAGAAATGGGCAACATAGGTGAACTTTACAAATGGATCATTTCACCGTGATGAAGCCCTAGAACTTTATTTTTCATGGGTAAGAACTTCAAAAAGCACACTTTGAAAGTACAGCATTGACAGAGACCACTTAAATTTCAAAGTTCAGCCAGCATTACTTATTTTACCTCTTCGTAGATGTATAGATCTTTGTGACTTTTCCAATTTTGTTTAGCAAACCTTTGACACAATATCCAAAACTTACTTTTTTGAGAAAATAGATCTTGGAGTGGGAGGTGTCTGGACACTTGCTAAAAATAATAATAATGACTGATTTGTTGTCAGATGTCTTGAGTTTGTTGAGGCATGACAAAAAGCATGTTAAATAAATAAAAGAAACTTTAAAAATGAAAACATTCAGCTTTAGGAAATAAAAATTATTCGGGCTGTGATCTGATTAAAGGAAATTCAGAGTATATTAATTAATTTAATTTGCATAAATTTTAATGTGCTCAAAAACAATAGTTCAGAAGCAAAAGCAATAGGTTCTTTAATATTGGATAGTGAGAGAATAAATATCTTGGATAAATATCTTGTACACGGTAGTTTTACAAGTACTTGTGTTAAAGCTAGCTACAGAGGCACCTTCTCTGTCAATCAAAAACAGTTTTACTGTATCAGTTTGGTCAACACTGCAGCCTTAATAACTAGGAGTGTACAGTGACTACAAGATTCAGTTCAGACCCCCAGTTTTGTTAGAAAACAGCCTGCCTCACTCCAAAGGACTTCAGAGGCTAAGTCTGCTTCAGAAAAAAAACAAGGCTTCATTTCCTCTCCACTCATTATTGGTATTTTTTTAAAAAAGGATTATATCCTTTTTCCTTTGAACACAAGTGGATGATATTTGCAGGCGGTGCTCTTTTTCCTAAAAAAATGTTTATGGGTACTCTCATTTTGACTCAAAAAAATCACCATTTTATAGTTCAATTTGGGAAAAATAAATACAGTAAATGGACAAAAGTACAAAGATTCACAAAATGTTTAGGGGTATGCGTACCCCTCTGTCCCCCCAGAAAAAGCACCATTTGCAGGTATAGTAGAGGAGACTATCTGTGGTCTAGAGGCAAATGCAAAATATACTGAGATACAGGTAGTGAGCGATGGTTTCCTTCTAAAGAATATCATAGGAGGGGGTGGAAAATATCACATAGTAAGATTATGCTTGGGTAAAATATATTATGAAGACATACACATCATATCTGTTACCTCTCATATATAAATATATAATCTAGACTACAATCTACTATGAACTTTGTCTCTGCAAGACTGATATTAATGGAAACTGAATCTTAGCACCCCGTGAGAAAATAGACAAAAATAAAAATGAAGTGCTCCCACAGGCTCAGCTTGAGGCAATATAAGATTTAGAGATATCTGAGACAACCAAATGGAGAACGTTTTGACTAATATCTTCTCCCCCCCCTTTTTTTGAACCCCATATTGATGGATTGGAAAACACTTCTGTGGCAGGGCTTCTGAAACATTTAATCTTCTCGCCACGCTCTGGTGCCTGGAGCGTAAGAGTTAACATACAGCGTTGCAGAATCTGCTTATATCAACGTTGTCCATAACATCTCAGATCATTCACAAAATATATGACGGAAAGGTCACTTGGAAGTGTCCAATGTAAAGGCATGAGGAGAAAGAACGTGTGAGCTCAGAGCATGTTTTTTAAAAGTTCCCATGGGAAAAGTCTATAGAATCAGGGAAAGTTGTGGAAAATAGGTGACAAGTTTATGGAACATCCAGTCTCTAGTCCTGCTAACCATCATAAGGATTGCATTGCTGTTAGTTATACAGGTATCAGGGAGAAGTTTAGACAATGACCAGTAATTGTCTGGTGGCTCCTTAGGGAAGCCTACTTCTCATTCTTTAAAAAGAAACAACAACAAAAAAACTGGTATTTTTTGCAGCTTTATTAGATAGTCTTATGCAGAGTTGTGTTCTGTTCCACACTTTGCTGACTCAGCTGCCATTCTCACTCTTTCCTTTACTCATTTGTTCACAAAAAGTCACCCATATAGTAGAAACGCAGGCGGGCATTTCTGTGCATGGGTATCTTTGTTACTTAAACTATACATACCTCCAGAATTTTAAATTTCCTCATTCCTTGGAATATGGCCAACCTGTCCTCTTTGTTGTGATAAAGCACCTACCTGGACATTTAAACAATTTCCGCACGGGGAACAAGGTAGGCTAGCAGCTCTGCTAATTATACGATACTAGGGAATCCAAGCTTATCCATAGTTTACACTGACTCACTTTTGACTTTTGGTTAATCCAGCCCTTCCACCATTCTTACTGCGATGGATAAGTTCTAGAATATTACTTTTTGCCCCTCTATGAGATATAATTAACTTCTTCAGTAAAATGGATTATGATATGAATATGCTAATTAGAAAATGAATCCACTGCAGGTAATGGTGTTACAATGGATAAATACAGGTGTAATTAAGATCACAATCTTGGTTACTGTTATTAGGCAATCCTCATGAAGATTATGTGCGCACTCAGAAACTAAGCCTTTTAAACAGTGCTCACCCAAGATTTTACAATATGCAGTATGCTAATTTCTGGTTGCTTAATGGCAACTGATATTTTCTCCTCCTGGTATCGCTTCTTAAATTTTGTTCAACTGCATTTTTAGCCAGCAATTCTTGCCATGAAGTGTATTTTGCAGTTATTAAAATTGTTTTATAATTATTATTATTTCTATTATTGCTTTAACGCATCATGCATCATAACAGTATATACATTGGGGGCTAATTTAATTGGCATGAGAATAATGTTACCTTAAAACGTGGATAAGAGTGACAAAAGGACTGTTATGAGTCTGTTTAGCTGTGATTCAAGCAACCATTGTGCTGTGGTGAGGTGTGAGTTTAGTGGATATTGCTAAACTTGTAGGAATTGGACATATGGTTGCAAAGCCTCTACAGGATTCCTGTGGACATCTCAGCAGTGAGGTAACATCATCCATTTAATATCTGAACTCTGCTGGCTTTCCAGCGTCCAATATTATGTATGTCATGAGCCATAAGGTTCTGGTGCTTAGAGTTTTATATGTAGATGTGGAAGATCTGGATTGAAATCCCAGAGGGGGTATATCTTTTGGATGATCTTACATAGGTCCTACACAATCTGTGTGTCAACTTCAGCTCCTCAGCATGAAAAAGACCATCATTCAGTGGTACTGCAGATGCTGTGCAGGCAGAAGATTCTATATTGAATTCATGGCTTATCCAGTTAAAAGTTCTCAGGTGTGGTCCTTCCCTCCTGATGCCAAGGATTGAACCTGAGACCTTCTGCATCCAAAGCAGACACTCTGCCACTGAGCTATAACCCTTTCCCTTAGAGTATAATAGAAAAACACATACTCCACCTCTTGGCTTAGCCCCAAACACCTCAAAGCCAACCCAACCAGAAAGGTCTTGAAACCTTTCTATAAGATGCTACGTCTTAGGTTTCTTGGGATGCTGGTGGGGAAAATTCCATAGTCGTTGCGGCAGAGCTTAACACAGAAAGATTCTATATTTGCTCTTGCACTCCTGGCTTGGCTCACAGATGGAAGAAGAGGTCACAGTTTGTCAGTTTTGTGGGACAAGATGAGACACAGGGAAATCCACACAGGGCCTGCTCTTATGATCACCTCAGTCAGCAGCAGCCAGTTTTTGTTTTCTTTGTGGTGCTGACCTTTATCAACTGTGCTATTAGAACCTGAGAGTGGCATGCAATTGGGTCAAATTGCAAAAGTGACTTGTGCAGTACTTACAGTTGCCTCAGAACTAGCTGTTGTAATAAATATCTTAAATTATCCATATGATTCCTGCTTTAATAACTACTTAGCAGTTAGAAAATAAGGTCCCTGATCACAGTATTTCTCCTACACATAAAAGAATCCCACGATTCATTCCTGAATATCAATGGTTAATCAACTTCTTGTAGGAGATTCCAGGCAAGCATTGCTCCTTCACCTACTAGAAGAAGAAGAAAAAAGAACTCCTAAAACAGATCCCAGTGAGGCTTTGCACATGCTTTGCTATTTAGGCAGGCTATAACCAGTGCCAAACCAAGACATTATATATTCCCATCTCATTGCTACTGAATTTCCTACATGTCAGAGGCCATCGCTGCAAAACTCCAATCTAAACTCAGGCGTATATGGTGCCTTTTGTGTTTTCTGTTCTGATGCCAAGGGACACAAATGCTTTCTTTGGCCAAATGAACTCTATAAAATTAAACTACTCTTCTACAATCCCAGTGGAGGTAAACAAAGAGTACTGGAATGATTCCGATGATGGCTTCAGCCTAAATCTTGGCATGAATGCACAAAACTCCATGCTGTTGGAATGACAAGGAAGAGAGCAATGACAATGTCAGATTTGCTGAACTGTCAGTCCCTGGCTTGCCTATGACTCTTTTTTTAAAAAAATCAAGTGCTGTGAAGAAAAAGCCACTGTTAATGATGCCTGTTAAGTGACAGACTGGAATATGAGAATGCTGGGTGCAGAATGGAATCTCTTGTACTTCAGATTGGTGGTTGGGATGATCATCTCTTGCCCATCTGCCCAGAGGGCTACTCTCTGCTCTACAATCAATGCTTCTGAATGCCCGTAACTGGAAAACACAGGAGGAGAGAAGTCTCTGGCGCTCTATCCTGTTTGCAGGTTCTACACAGGAATGTGGTTGGCTATTATGAGAAGAGGAGGAGGAGGAGGAGGAGGAGGAGGAGTTTGGATTTCATATCCCTCTTTATCTTTACCCTAAGGAGTCTCAAAGCTACTAACATTCTCCTTTCCCTTCCTCCCCCACAACAAACACTCTGTGAGGTGAGTGGGGCTGAGAGACTTCAGAGAAGTGTGACTAGCCCAAGGTCACCCAGCAGCTGCACGTGGAGGAGCCTGGAATCGAACCCAGTTAACCAGATTACAAGTCTACTGCTCTTAACCACTACACCACACTGGCTCCTTATGAGAACAGGATCCAGGACTAGATGGGCCATTGGCCTGATCCAGCAGGCTCCTCTTATGGTCTTGACTCACTCTATTTAATATCTTAATATTTATTTATTTCATAAATGTTGTACATTGATTTTTTTTTTTAAAAAAACCAACAACTTAAAGCCATTTACAAAAACATCTAACTACAAAGTTTTATTTTTAACTTATAAAATATGTATATCTATGACCAAAGCGACTTCTAAAATAATCACTATAAAGGCACAATGATGATGATGATAAAGTGACCATACATTTCAAAACAATAAAAAAGAAAGCAGCAACAACAAAGAAAGAAAAACCTAACTGACAGTAAATCAAGCAAGATATTCGGCCAAAGGCATGAAAAAACAACCAGTTCTTTACCTAATGCATTAATGCCAGCAGTGAGCACACCAAGCAGCCTTCTCAGACAGTGCAGCATCACTTACTTGGCTTTCCAACAAGAAGGTCACTGCTGGTAACCAACAGGTTTACGTAGTTCAGGCACAGAAGTGGGAACATCAGATCTGTTCAGCCACTGCACACACGCTGTGCCAACCTCCCTGCCCCCTTGCCACTCCCTGTCTTGGTGATGTGCAGTGACCTCCATACTGATAAGCAATGCTTGCCATCTTGTTCTGCCCCACCAACCACAGCCACAGAGAATACATTTCCAAGTATTGTTAGGCCTACAATAATTATGTCTATTAGTATATTTCTGAGCACTTTTAAGCCTACGATCTTAACCATACTTGCTAGGCACAAAGTCTAAATGAACTCAGTAGGACTTACTTTTGAGTAAACATACTTAAGCTCTCACTCCAGGGCTCAAGGACTGTAATAGGTATTGACTTCAAGGTGAAACTATGCCTTTTCTCTGCTGTGTATCTGTTGGAACTACATTATTTCCTAGTAGAGATGGTACCATGATAGCCTGTGCTTCATTCCTCAGACTTAATGACAATGCCTGCCTTATGGAGCATGGTAAGTATTCTGGTGAAATATAGTTTTGGTCCCTCCGCCTGTCTTCCTTTCTTCTTCTTTTTGCCATTCCTTGAAATAAGCTCATGCCAAATTAGAGACATGAACCATTTGAGAGATGTTCATGGAAAAACACAGATCATTGCCAGTGCTGGCGATGTGGATCCCAGTAATCAGAACACAGAGTTTCTCCTCTATGTGTTGCTTTTTTCAGTAACGACCTCAACACCACCTCCACATCTATGGAACTGACATCTTTTCAGAAGATGTTTCTCTTTCCGCAAGCATCTGAGTGCTTCTTTGCAACAGATGCTTGTATTTCTTTGAGGCTGTCTGTGGTGGTTAGACCTCTGTTAAAGGGCAGCAGGATGGGCTCCTTTCATGTTTCTGTTGCCTCATATTGCACTTCATTTTTAATTATTTTTGTTTTTTCATATATTGTATTAATGAACTTTATTGTTATTTGCAACTTGCTATGAGGTGCTTGTGAAAAGGCTACTAATAAGCATAAACATAGCAGCAGCAGCAACAGTTTGAGACCAAAGGCCCATTTAGTCCAGCATTCTGCTTTCACAGTAGTCAACCAAACGTCTTTAGGGAACCCCAAGTAGAAGATGAGCACAAGAGCTGTCTCCTTCTCATTTTCCCCAGGAATTGGTATTCAGAGACATATTGGATCTGAGCCTGCAGGTTGCCCAGAGCTGTCATGACTAGCACCAATTGACAGCCTTATCATTCTTATATCGTCAACAATGAATTTCTCTAATCTATTTTTAAAGCCATCCAAGTTGGCCACCATATTGCATTAATAATGCGGTATGAAGAGGTATTGTTTTCATCCTGAGTTCTAGTGCTCTGTGAGATGAAGAAAAACCTCTCTCTATCCACTATCTCCATGCCACAATTTACAAACCTCCTGTTTTCTGCCTTAAACAGCATAAAATGTAAATCCTGTACAGTCTGCTAAAGGTTTTGTTGAATCTGTGGGACACACAACAAAGGGGATCTGAGTCTTTATAGCTTTGTGAATTTCCTTCTCTTTGGTTAGATAATTGATGCTCTCTATCATGAGTTCCTCGGGTTGTATACAGTTGATTCCTGTATCCTTTTTTAAAAAAAGATAATGTGTTTGTTGATAGGCACAGGCTTGATGGCTGATTCTTCATCCTTTGATTTAGGCATCTGTTGCTATTCAGTACACAGGGAGGGAACAATGCAGAGCTGACTTTGTTCTTCCTACAGGTACTCCTACTCCCCAGGAATCCAACCGTGCATGTGTTAGATCAGTAAATAACACAGAAGGCAGGCCACTGAGGCAAGCCTCTGCAGGCAAGCGGCTGAAATCCTACGGGTGAAAAATGGGGGGAAGGGTTGTAGGAGGGCCAGAGTGCTGTGGCTGTGTTCTTGGCCCTACCAGCAGGGTTTGAGAAGACAAAGGGGTTGTTTTCAACTAATTAAACTTGCAAATTTCATACCTTGCAAGGCTTGTATTGTAATTCAAACAGGCTGTCATTGAAAGTTAATGACTTACCACTCCTTACAACCTACACAGACTAAGAGCAGAGATTTGTGAGCAATTAATTGATAATGTGTTACAATGAGAAGTAAGCAATAAGCATTTATACTCTCAAAGCTATCAGTAGGCACATGACAGATTGAGATGCAGACAAAGAACTTGGAAGAATAGCACTTTCCTTCATCTGCACAATGCACAATATATTTCTTTGTCTTAATTCAGTCAAATCAGTGAATTTTGTATCAAATAAAGTCACTTAGACAATTTCTGTTACTCCAGTTCCTAATTATTATCATAGCAGTCCTTGCAAAAATGTGGGATCCTGCTGGGATTTAATGCATAAATATACACAGTAAAAAAGAAAACGCTTGGAATTTTAACATGGATATTGTCAAATAGATAAGTTTGTTGCAATTGTTCTTTATAAGTGCTTTGGATCCAGAAAGGATTTGGAATGTACTGTTCAAAAGCAAGTTACTGTGTTTATAACAATTTTGTTTTGTGTGTTTTAAAGGCTATTATTAGGCGGAATCTTGCAAAGTGCAGTTCTCTGTTCCCTTAATTTAACATTCAGAATTAGTCAGCAGCATGTGTGCACACCACACATTCCTTTGCATGTTGCCAGCATTCAAGCACAAAGAAAAAAGCACAGCCAATTTTCAAAACGAATGTGGTACCATGGTAGCTTGCCGGAGAATGAGACTGCTTGCTTGATCCTCACATCATTTCAGTACCAACACTGCAAATGGTCAGAATGTAGTTGCAAAATCAGCAAGACTCCCATAGTGGTCCAGTAATTCTCCACCTGGACATATAAATATGTCACTTTAATCACAGACTTTCAGGGTCCCTTCCAGCTCTACAA